AAAGAGAGATTTATTAACAGATTTTGAAAATTATTTCTTAGTTCATTTTTAAAGGAAGACTCTTTAGCAGTTTTTTCTGTAGTGTTTAACCTAAACTGTTGTAAGTCTGATTCAGATGGGTTTTCTCTATTGTATCAAGATTTTGAATTTTTCCTGATTTTTTAAAATTTTTTCAATATTTTAAAACAGCGTTAGGTTTTTAAAGTCCTTCTGCTAAATGTTTTAAGGAACCCACGTAGACTAATATTGTTTTATTAATAAGATCAGTTTGATTCTAGTTGTGTACTAAAGCAAGCTTTGTCATGTGACTCTGGCTAAAATTGTGACATGCTCCTAATTTATTCTTGCAGGGTCGGAAGGGAGTGTTATAAAAAAAGTTTTAAGCAACTTCGAGCCTGGCGCTCATCAGAGCCTATGTCTCAACTAAAAAAAAAGAGCTTAAGTAGCTTTGAGCCTAATGCTACAAAAGTCTTAATAAGCTCACCCAAAAAGGAAAAAAAAAAGAGCTTAAGTAACTTCAAGCCTTGGCACTCAATTAAAGCCTCTGTGCTTCACCAGAAAGAGGAAAAAGAGCTTAAGCAGCTCTTAGACCCTAGCACCATTAGAGCTTATTTCTCATCTGAAAAGAAAAAAGAGCTTAACAGCAGCCTCGAGCCCCTGTCTCAATTGAAGCCTATGTGCTCACCCATAAGAAAAAAAGGGATGAAGCAAGCAACTCTGAGTCTTGGCGCTCATTAGAGCCTAAGAAAGAAAACATTTTCTGTAACTCCGAACTGTGGGTGCTCATCAGAGCCTATATTCTCACAAAAGACAGAAAATTTGAGCTTAAGCAACTCCAACTCCCGTACTCATTGGAGCCTTTGTGCTCACTAAAAGAAAGAAAATTCAGGTTTAAGTAGCTTTGAACCCTAGCGCTCATTAAAGCCTTCACATTCAGAAAATAACCAAGCTTGAAGCTCTAAACCCTAGCACTCATCAGAGCCTTCGTGCTCAAAAAATAATTAAACCTTCATTAAAATAAGGATTTGGGAATAAATGTCCAATACTTATTGGGAGACATCTAGTAGAATAATAGATATATTAAGGATTTTACTGTAATTAGGAAAGTATTAAGTGCAAAAGGACTATAGATTAGAGTGATATTATTCCATATACCTACCCAACAATCACCAGAATTAAAATACACAATCCTATAACTGCGGAGTTCAATAATAATCAAATAATAGAATAATTACTACATCCAAATTTAAATAACAGAAATATAAAGTTTACATTTATAACTCTACGGAGAAGATTGTAGAGCTTCCGTTGGATCGGCAACTTCCTAATACCTGAGAAGTTTGGAGAGAAGGGGGGAGAGAAGGGGGTGGAAGTTTTGCAACTCAGTGAATAATAATAAATAATACAACACACATACAGTCACACCGAAATGCACCCTAATATTACTAAATGATCACACCACATCAATCATATGGGCATAACATCAGCACCCACAATACAATTTCACCTTCAAATAATCACATCCAACGGAAATTGTCAGTGGCAGTCACCGAAACAATTTTTTCCCCCCGATTGAGCCCGTCTCCCACATGGTCCTCATCCTCTCACATGTGCACCAGGGACCGATCCCCCAATACTGGCCGACCGGTCTATATCTCACTTGACCAAGCCCTCTCATTGTTTTTCCACTCTCCTCTTTCTTTCCTGTACCTAAACAGGAGGTTAACCCGGGCGTCCTCCATCAAATCTAGAATCATCAGGCGCTCACCAATGACAGGAGGCCACCCTGCGGGCTGCGATCAGATCCAGATTTCAAGGTGCCGCCCAATAAAGAAACGCAACCTGTGGTTTTCCATATTACACAACAGATCATAGCAGCAGGTGCACACGGGGGCGCCGATCTCCCATTTACCCCGGCCATTTTTTTCCCATATCATATTCAGGATCCATATCAACATATACCATTCTCACAAACCCATGGGTGACCCACTTCATCCCAAATTCCACATAAACAAATTCACAATATATGCACAAACAACAATTATTCAAACAATTCTTTCAAACGTACACATCAAAATACATCCAATATACAATTATGCAATCCTAAAATAAATATGAGCTTTAATAAAATACATATATATATAGATATATAGGTTTGTAAAGAAAAATGCTATGTAAAGTGCATGTTGAATATGCATTATTTAATTATTACTCACAGTGGTCGAGAGCGAGGTCCTAACTTTGATTCTGTCCTGGAGGAGCACAGATGGACCCGGGCGATCTAAGCAAAGTAAGAATGACATCGAAAAAAAAGAATTTATATCAGTATAAAATATTTTATTTCATCACACTTCTAATCTTAACCTTTTAATTTCTATCAAATAATTTACTCTTTAAAAATAATTAAATTCTATAATGAATTTTAATTTGCCACCCGAAATTCAATTTTACTTTCTACCAGAAATTTCCGGCAGCATCTCCCCTAAAAAATTGAACTATCCACCTGTTAAAATATCAACAATATATATCTAAATTTTGCAAACCACACAGCCCCATCCATCGGGCAATCAATCAATCAATTTCCATCCTCCATAAAATCTCGACACTCACCACACATTAAAAATTATACATTAACATAATCATTATATCTAAACACCTTAATTAAATCAACGAACTAAAAATTATAATCTATTAACTAATCACAATTTACTAAATTAAATTAAACTAACTTAATTAGACATACAAGTAATAAGATTAATTTAATTAACTACATTACTTAGCTAGATTAATTATTACAATGATAATAACATTAATTTCATCATTATCTAATATTACTAAATTAATTAAAACTTCAAAATAATATAATTGACTAATATTACTAACACTAGCTTAATTAATTAAACTAGCTACAAACAATTAACTACAACTAACTTAACTAATTAATTACTAACACTAATTACTAACACTAACACTAACTTGACTAACTGAATTAACTACAAACCATTACTTTTATTCACTAAAACTAACTTAACTAAATAAATTAGCTAATTTCATTCACAAATCTTAAAATTTTACCCAATTTTATAGTGTTGCCGGAATGCGACTAACCGGAAATGGGGCTGGCGGCGTGGAGAGAAGCGGAGCAGTAGGCACGGTGGTGGCGCGACCAAGTGAAGGTTGTGCTGCTGCCGTGCGCTGCGCGATCTGGCCTGTGCTGCTGCCGGGCGCTGCGCGATCTAGCAGAGGGCGGAGCTTGCTGGCAGTGGGCGTGCGACGTGGGAAGGCGTGAGGCTGCTGCTGTCCTCCCAGGGACCAGGCGCAAGTGAGGAAGAGGGAAGGAGGGAAGAGAAAAAGGAAGATGAAGAAGAAGAAAAGAGAAGAAGAAGAAGAGGAGGGAGGAGGGTGGTTGGCGCTGTGGTGTTGCTGGGTGGTCGGTCGGAGGCGTAGGGAGTGAGTGAGGAGAGGTGAGGCGTGTGCTGGATATAGAGGGAGAAGAGCTTTCTAGATGGTTTGGGTCGAACCGGTTCGATCCGGTTCGGTTCGACCCAAATCTTCAATTTTATGACTGGTTTTCGGCTTTTTCAATCGGTTTTTGGTTCGGTTTCTCACAGTATTCACACTAAAATATTAATATTAATTTCCAAGCTGTCGGTACATTAGATTTAATTAGAAAATCTTTTGAAAATATAAATTTGGGTTGTTTCACAGAGTGTGCTTCTGTCCAAGTTAACAATTATAATGCTTAATTAATATTTTGGAGATTATTGAAGAAATTAGAAGCTTTTTTTCAATATAATTGAAATTTGAATGCTATTTAAAAATAATATTTTATAATTAGTTTGGAAGAAAGTAAAAAAAAATGGACGATAGGATTAAGTATTCTAACGAAAGTAAATCTCAGAAAACATTAATTAATATTGTCAAACTGTAAAAACGAATTAATAATTTGGTCAAATGTTAGGATAAAATAATTATTTTCCCCGCATCAATTAGAAGTACAATCTTTTGTGTCAGGCTGTTAAGCTGGGCTATCCAGTTGGTGTTTTCACAGTTATATTTATATTGAAACGAGCTAAGAAAAGCCTAATTATGCTATTACATTTATTTCAAGATTTAACAAGCATATATTTAAAGGAAAATTTTTTATTTAACCGAATTTAATCAAACTAAGCTTTTAACCTAATCATTTTGGACGAATTAATTTTAATCATTAATTGCATTGAAGTTAAAGAAAATAAAAACTTAATTAATCGATTGAAATATGTAATTAACCATCTTTAACCCAAATAAAAATTAACCAAAATGATTAATCACTACTTAATCAAAATAAAGATTAAAATATTTTTAATTTTATTATCCACTTAATCAATTAAAAGGACGTAGTTTTTGAGAGTCGGCTAATTTAATTAATTTAGTTAAATTAACTTTTTAATCGAAAATCTAATTTTCTTTAACCAAAATTTTAACTTAACATTTATTCACCGAATCGAATTGGCGAATTGACCGAACCAAATGCTCACTCCTACATAATCTAACGTGGCAACAAGAGGAAATCTTCTATATAATATATAAAAGCAGGGTAATTTGTTTTATATGGAAGCCAAGTGTAAGTAGCACAGTTTGCCACTTGTCATTATTTTGGATTATTGAACGACGGATGTTGTAATTGGCACACATTTAGCACAATTACAAGAATTGTAAAAAGATCGTTATTTTATATTTTTAGATAATCCCTCTATTAAGATAATATCTAGAAAAAAAAAGATTATCACTAGCATTTAATTTAATATAAATTTATTTTTTCTTACAAAATAATTAATAAGTAATCCACACGCAATTTAAACAATATATTACTATTAAATAATATATAAGCAATTTAAAAAATATAAATTGAAACGTACATGATACGATAATTTTTGAAAAAGTAGAACATCTACACGCTTATATGACATACTACAGTAAATAAGTAATACATTAATATTTTAAATAAATAAAAAAAACAATGTATAATAAATTATAAACATAAAATAAATAAAAAAACTTAATTTCTTATTTCATTGCCACAAAGAATATTTAAAAATACTTCATTTTTTTATTGGTAATAAAAAACATTTGTTGATTACCTTGGCATATAGAGTAGTCTCATATACCAGGAGTTGAGTTGCACAAAAACGAGACATGAGATACGAAACCTATTGGATACCATAATTTTTAAGATACACTACACTAAATAAATAATACATTAATATTTGAAATAAATAAACAATCATTTATGATAAATTATAAATACAAAATTAAAAAAAAAACTTAATTTCTTATTTCAACAACACAAAAATAAATTAAAAAATACTTTATTTTTTATTGGTACTAAAAAAACCTTGGTTGATTAGCTTGGTATATAGAGTAGTCTTATATACTAGAAGTCATATACTAGAAGTTATGTTGCATGGAAACTGGATACGCGAATTTTTAAAAAAGGTACGACATCCATACGCTTAGACATAGTACACTAAATAAGTAATACATTAATATTTCAAATAAATGAACAATCATACTGAATGGTACAATCATAATCTTTAAGGAACTCCATCCAGCGCCTCTGTCTCAGATTTAGATCTCTCTGCTCAAAAATATACTTTAGACTTTTATGATCAGTGTATATTTCACAGGATACACCATACAAGTAATGCCTCCATATTTTTAGTGCGAAAATGATCGCTGCCATTTCCAAATCGTGAGTGGGATAATTCTGCTCATGCTTCTTCAACTGTCTGGAAGCATATGCAATTACTTGACCATGCTGCATTAAAACACATCCCAACCCCACTCTGGATGCATCACAAAACACTACGTATCCTTCATCACCTGATGGCAAGGCCAATACCGGAGCTGTGGTTAAACTGGAGGCTGATGGTTAAAGCACTCCCTTCAACTTCTGAAACGACCTTTCTTTCACAAGAATACAGACCATACAACTTAGCGATTCTTCTGGGTCAATCTGTTAACGGTGCCAGCATATTCGAGAAAAAGTTCTTGCCAAAACCAGCGATAATTAGACAACATGCCAAACCAAAAAAAGCTGCGAATTTCTAGTTGACAGTAGCTCGGCCTCGGCCAATCGATGGACTGCCTCAATCTTCTTAGGATCCAACCATGATTCCATCCTTCACGCATTATACCACATGACCCAGGAAATTTAACCAACTTTCCAGTCCCAGGAATTCACATTTGAAAATTTGCCATACAACCGATGGCCTCCCTCAGAGTTATGTTAAGCACAATTTTTCAGAGTGGTGTACTATGGTCTGTTATTCATCGGGTTCTAGGAATGAAACTAGAATTCATCTCATGAAACACAATCACACAAACTGGTCCAAGATAAGGCTTTGAACACTACGAATTCATCAGTCCATCGGAAGCTCGCTGGGGCCATTGGTGAGGTCCCCGAAGACACTGACAGGAATCATTGAATGAACCACTATCGTGGTTCTGAAAGCCGCGTTTTTAGAATGTCTGTTTCCCGCAATCTTTAGTCTGACTTAGGGTAAACGCAGATCTCACAGATCAATTCTATTTAAAATATGTAGCTCCTGTGCAATTGACTCGAAACCAAGTCCAATCAGATTCTAGGAAAAGCCCGGATATTTCTGTTCATTACACGGTGACACCTTCACTTCAATCTTGCTATAATCAATAGATAGGCGAAACGAACGCGTCCTCTTTTCTTCACAAATAGGATGGCAGCACCCCAAGCGAAGTGCTGGTCTGATGATAGGCCCTTGTCCAAACAAACTCCCTGCAACTGTTCCTTTCAACACTCCTTTAATCCGCTGGTGCCATCACGAGGATACCGGCGGCATGGAAATAGGGTTTCTGTGGCCAGGATCAATCAATACAGGAATCAATTTCCCTGTTCTGGGGGAAGAGCGGATCTAAGTTCTTCGGTGGAAACACATCGACTGAACTCATTCCTACGATCGGATACTTCCAACTTTACGAGTCTCCTTGTGTGTTTGATCCTTTACTCCAACGCTAAGTCACCTTGACAGGCCTTTTCTTCAACAAATCTTATACTCTGCGCTATTCGGCAGAAAATTCAGATTAATAAGGAGCTTAATTTCTTATCCACCCTATTAAACAAGGTCTTGCCCATACTGATAGTATTAAAAACAATCTCTTTCCTTCTTACATGGACCCTCCTGCATCGATTTAGCAACCAATCCATTCCCAAGACTCCACATCAAATCATATCAATCTAAGATAATTTAAATCTGCAGGCAAAGTCTTACGCCTTTCAAGGAACAAGTAGGGACAGTTACAAAATGACATAGAATTTAACGTATAAATAAGATTCACTTAAGGCGTTTCGAGCTATCAGCAAGGGAATTGTCTAACTGATTCGGGCACTCTGTCTACTTCTCATCAGCCAAATCCTAGGAACGCAAATTGAATGGGTCGGCACCAGGGTTCAAATAATCACTCGTGGCTTTCCAAAAAGAACAAATAACTGAAAGTTACCTTGCACCACGGCATTAGATGCCTGAGGCATTCTCCGGAGTCAAATGAAGGAGTCGGGGCTGTGGCTCCAGCAGCATGCAGAATTTTGTCCTTGACTCTGGCCTCGTGCCGCCTCACAAAAGAACCACGGCCCTTTTGCTGGCCAAGGAAGTCTAGTACCAGGAAAGCTGACGGTTTGAGAGTAAGGAGGCTCGGGACACACTACCCATGGAAGACTGGCGTACGGGCTCGCGGGTACAGGTGCACCATATCCGAGACGAAGGAAAATGGCAGTCTCTCTAGTCCATAACGTCCCGTCTGATACACCATAAAGCAAGCATTAGGGATCCAAGATCGCCAGCGTCTCCTTTTGAGGCCTTGCCACACCATGGCGACAGCGACAGTTTTCACACTCGGGTCTGCTGCTACCTGAACTGTGACCACGTACTGAACCACGGCTGAATGTATCTTCCTTGGCCACTGTCTCTTTTATGCCTTTTCTTCTGCGCGAGAGAGAATTGCCCTTCCCTGAAGTGAGAACTCGAAGACTGAGACCGCATAACGAAAGATCCACTCCTCCCTCGGTACCGCCTAAAGCCTTCAAAGTTGGGGTACAGTGCTCTATCCACCCTTTCTGCCGTGGAGATAAGTCCAATCAGAGAATTATATTGGCCTCCATTTGCCTGGCTAAACCTTACCACAGCATTCAAA